TACTAATCTAACTCCAGAAGGGTAAGTTGGACCACAGGTAATTTGAAGTAGATGACCTCCTAACCAACACGACATGGAAGTAGGAAGACGGGATATGACTTTTAAGGGTCAGACCCTAGAGTTCGATGAACATTTTTCTAGGCTTTTAGCTAGTATCTATGCGGAAGTACAGTATAACATCATTGTCACACCCCTCGTTGCTGTATCATGCAGTAGCAAAAACATCGGTGAAAAACGTGTCTGGACGAGCCGAACCGCTCGTTGCTGTATCATGCAGTAGCAAAAAAACATCGGCAAAAGACGTGTCTGGGCGAACCCCTCGTTGATGTATCATGCAGTAGCAAAAACTTCGGAGAAAAACGTTTCTAACTTTTAGCTAGTATCTATGCGGAAGTACGGTATAATATCATTGTCATATATATATATATATATATATATTATATAATATGACTATCAGCAGGAAATGCCTGTCACACTTTCCAGTACTTTGGACTCCTCATTATCCTAGACTGTATGAACCAGTGAAGTGAGATAGCTGGACCGGTAACTCCTGAATTCGTCCCGCCCTGTAAGCTATGAGAAGCGATCAATAAGCGCTTCCCTCTAATATAGAAAATTCAACTCTTGAAATAGGGAAGACTTAATATTTGAATTTGCAGAATGTTATGGCCCAGTTTATTCGGACCCGACTAATAGGCATAAGAAGCCATGTGAGTGGTTCTCATAGCAAGCCTTTATTCAGGACGGTGCAGGACAACGGAATGGAATTAGCGTGTTCACCACAGCCTATTATAAGGCTTTGGTCCTTCTAGACTAATCCTGACCAATCGCATGCGGGGGGATTCTGGTGTGCATGCTGATTCGTGGTTCCCACGCTGCGAGAAGTTTCTAGGACATCTGCAGTACACGCGTGCTTGGGGGGTGCGCGGCTGGCCTGCGGCTATGACTCAAATGGCGTGCACTTCTCGTCTCCATGACAGAGACATGTTTTTATGCAGAGAAGAATTCAAATGATATTCCCTGATACACAAACAGTATTTTTTACAGCTAAAATAAATTTGGATGAATTATCGAACGGCTAAAGGAGTACCTCCACTTTCAGCTGAGAAAACTAACCAGCAGTAGCCGATTGTGTATGAAAAACACCTTTAGAAGCCTCCAAAGAACCTCTTTTATAATGACTTGAGCATGCATTTTGTGACAATAGTATCCTTTTTTCCAAAATCAGAACCTCAGAATATTGCTGTAAGTAAGATTACAGCGGAAAGCGTTTGGATCTCCTGGTCCACAGCCACAGGCGAATTGAAGTACAACACACATCACGTACTCCTTCAAACCGAAGATGGAATTTTCAAAAAGAATTTTTCCTGCGCAGCTCCAGAAAACACAAATCCTTCCTCCTGTGTAGCGAATGGACTCCAACCGAACGCACAGTATCAGTTCACTGTACTAAAATGTACTCCCGATAAACTATGCAGTAGTCGCCCATCGTTGCGACACTTCCGAACTGTACCTTCAAGTGAGTAACTTATCCTTTAGCATGAATCCAGTCTGCGATGGATATAAATGGCCACTTTAGTGTAACACATCATAAGAGCTACTAATTTACTTAAAGTAGGCGTGTTTAATTATTTTCTTATAGGGGAAACTGGCCAAAATTAAATTGCGTCAATGACCTATTGCCTTCAGTCGTTCATTACATCCTCTATTCTCTAACTAGCCCCCTTTGGCGTGAGCTTTACCAATCTGACCAGCATCTCGATGCTGGTCACCTGGAATGGATCCAGCGAAGACACCAACAACACTGCCTTCACGTATATCGTAGAGGCGAAACTCGCAGTGCCAAACTTCCATGTTGTTGGGGTCTGCACCAGCAAGGGAACCCTCGTCTGTAGAACCCTGCATCTCGACCCAAACACAACCTACATTGTGACTGTGAGGGCGTGTACTGAAATGGATCACTGCAGTGCACCATCGACGCCCATTCAGGCGACAACCTTGCCTTCAAGTAGGTTTTGGCAAAACACTTTTCCTTCCTCGCACTGTTTCTGTCCTCATACTTAAATCCACACTTGATAATCCTTCGTTGAGGTCCTAACTGTAGTTATTTTTGCCACCACAGAAATGGACACGCTCTATCTGACTGCGTTGAACTCCACTACGCTGAAGGCCACCT